CCTGGTACATGTGTTTGTGTTGTATCTCGCTGGGGGAGAAACGCAAGTGCTGAGTCTGCAGATTCGACTCTGCAATTCTGCAAGAAAAGGCTTCGTCATCCTTAGTGTTTGCCATAGTGAGAAACGGGTACTACTTGAGTGTCCTGTTGGCCCCTGTTTTGGTTGATCATTATCAACTTTTCAGCCTGCAGACAGAGTGGTAAGTTAAGTTGCATTATATTACAGTATGCAGCTGACGGCGCTAAGTGATTCGGATCGTAGCGTTGGTGTCATGGTGTCGGTGGTCTGCACTTTCTGGGCTAAACACGTCTCCCGCCGGGAAGCTGAGTGGACACAGGCGCATTGCTGAAGCTGAGTGCTGATGCTTGCTGAATTGTCCATGTACTTGTGTGAGTGTTGTAATTTGTTTCCACTGGGAGTCGTCCAAAAGGTCTTGCTTTGAATCATTGGCATTTTGTCTCATGTATTGGCCGTGGAAGCTTTGGCCGGACCCCGCGGAACATAGTTGTGCCAGAGGTTTGTTTGAGCTGGCTTTGGTCATTGGTCAATGCCCAGAGTTGCCAAAGTGTACGTGCGGACGACCCTTTTACTAAGCCAAATGTTTCGAGTTGAGCTGCCAGAGCGGGCTTCGCACGCTGCACTTACACTGAAATGAGGTGATTGGACAGGGCTCCTTAAAAGATACATGTTTCCCATTTGAAACATGGCTTTTTCAACCAAACTAACGGGAAACCACCATTTACAAGGCAATGTTCAGGTGTATAATGTAAGGATCCCTGTTGGAGCTACCAAAGTGAACTTCACTGATCCCGCAAAAGGTGGCCGCGCCAGAATAGCCCTGCAAAAGCTCCGCGATGGAGCTCGCAAAAGAGTCCTGGACAAGGTGATTTCAGTTAACCAGTTATTTAGGCAGAAAACGCAAACGCACAAACTATATATATATGTGTATATATATATACGCACACATACACAGTGATTTTGAATCAACTGCTCTGCAACATCTCTTGGGGGATGGGCAAACTTAGGCACCACAGGTGCGATTCAACACGCCCGAGGTCCGCAGAGGGTCCGCTGTGAACATCCGCACTGTGCACTTTTGCCATGAGAGCCATCTACAGTGTGCCAAGTTTTTCGCGAAACAAGGAGAGCGCACTTCGAAACAGCAGTCTCCGAGTCACAAGTTTCTCCGGCATTTTTAAAAAGCTTTGTGCTAGCTGGTAGGCATAATGGCACATGTGTCGATGCAAAAGCTATTCGAAGCTGCAGTCAAGAAGCGTAATTATCCTGACATGTCAGCTGCTGTAGTACCCCTGGATTGGTATACTTCAACCAGCAAAGTGTCGTCCTTTGTGGCAATGGCACTGGCAGTTGTGGCATCCAATTCCAACAACACACTTAGCGAAGCATCCCCTGCATGTCTGGACGCTCAGAAAGCTGCAGAAACAACTGGCTGTGGGTCAACATAGGTACCCAAAATGGAACCTTGGCAAATGGAAACATGAACTAACACCTGCGGTCCCCTAGTGGTGTTAATTTTGACCCACACCCAACTGCAGAAGAGTTCAGTGACTGACATCAGGCAGGGACAAAAGATGCCTGACTTGGCGTTCGGAGTCCTGCCTCCAAATTGGGCGGCAAATACTGCAACGAGCTTGTCGGCGGTGGATTTACATGCCAACAAGCACGAGGCCAAGGCCTGATTTCAGGCTTCGAATACATCCCGGCCTGGTAACGTGGCTTTGTGAAGATGAACCGTGTGGCTAAATGGGGCCAGATGGCTGGTGAATCATGTTGGTTGTCTTTCAAAACATCCTTTCCCCAAAGCCTTCTTTTTTGTTTTGACGCCCTTACAGGCCCTTACAGGTGATCTTGTTTTCTTTGGTTCAACGCAGGTACCAAGATCAAATCAACACGCCGTGCATCAGAGCTTCCTCGCAAAAAGCCGTCAAGACACTGGCAGGTAGAGGCACTTGTTTGGTCTCCTTTCAGCAATGTGAACTGCATGGCAGGGGACATCCTGTTTCGTGATTCCGCTTGTACAGCGCCCTTTGCCGTAGGAGGGAAATCATGGTGTAGCCGACCAGGTGTTAAGAGAACCCGGTGCACACGCTCTTGCCATTCAGCGACCCAAGCGCAAATGCCCAGCTACGGTATTTGAGTAGAGGTTAACTGACTGGTTGACACGTTGCCAAGCGTAATCCCGGCGTTCCGTGCAAGGATGTGTGAATAGAGTGAGACACTCGTTGGCGCATTCGGGATGATTTACATGCCGGACAAAACATGTGACAGCGCCCACCTTGGCTCATTATTCTTTTGGTTTCGGGCATTAGGTGAGTGCCAGTAGCAGGGTTCGGCTTGGCATCAACCCTCCACTTAGTGCTACAGCATTTGCAAGGATCCGGGCCTTTCATGAGCAGGTCAGGCGGCTTGGCACCGCTGAAATTCCGAAGATCTTTTGACACTCCATCCCAGGATTGGTGTTCAAGGGCTTGTCTTGGCTTGGGACAGCGGCCAACATCAAAAGCCTCACTTGAGCAAACGCGCGGCAGATCTACCACATGTATTGACAGAAGGCTGGTTCCTGCTTCCTTTGTGAGCAACTTCAGTTTCCGCGGGCGAATGTACCGGCCTTTGCTGCTGGCCTGTGTGTCAATTGCATGCTTGTCATAGTGGTGCCTAGCATGTAATCCATGAACATCATGCCAGGACATGTGGGGCCGTATTGCCACATGCGTCATGACAAGCCGCGCCACACAAACAATGCCAGTGCACGTCATACCACTTGGCAACGAGGCAAGCCTCTTAACTGGGCAGGCCCGTTCCATTGTGTGTCATAGTATCATAGAGGTATATCTCATTGGGCGGACTAGCATATAGCATGTGCATGCCCTGTTTGAGCATTTTGGGCTAATAGACTTCAAGAGCTCTCGGGCATACTTTGCCTCCAACTTTCAGCATAGTGCCCCTCCTGGGATGTTGAGCGCATCTCATTTGGATGCTTTCCGGGCCTCCAGCTCAGAGTTCAAGTGAAACGTAGGTTGCAGGAACAGCAATGGATGCGAATGGAGCGACTGGCTCCAGTGGCTACCCACGAACAGAAGGCCACCTGTCAGGTATCAAGAAGCTGGCCAGTGTTACCATCCTGGTCTTCCCACATAGCGACACAGAAGGCGGTCAAGCTTCGGACCATTCTGGACTTACTTCTTTCCGTTTGCTTTCTGTGTCGAAAAAAGTGCCGTGCAGGTGTGTCAGCAGACGTCAGGTTGTTCAGGCGGCTACCGAATTTAATATTTGTTTCATGTCACTGCTCTTTTGAACAAGCCCAGCACCATTTATTTTGAAATAAATCTCGTTTAGCTGCTTCAAATCAGATTTCGTCACACAGCTACACTGGCTACAGAAGAATCACATGTAAAGTTTCCCTGAATTTGTCAGTTGAACCAGCCGCGGTGCATAGTGTCTCAAGAACGTGGCACTGAGGCAGATACGTCTGCACCAGAGTTTACCGAGAACTTGGCACTCGGATAAATATAATTGTCTCTGAAACTTCTTCCCCTGTATGCAAAGTGGGGGGCGAAAAGCAGCTAGAAGGCTCAGGGCACCCGGAGCGGAATGGAGTAGTTTTATCCACATCTCAGCCGATAATATAAATGTTCAATCTTGAGGTCTATTTCAGCGGATGTTCTTGGGTGCAGAATTGGCAGAGCGCACATCTTCAAGTTCTTGTTTTGGGCACTGAGAAAGTGCCAACGTGTTTCTCCCGAGAAGGCTTCGAAGGCTGCTCTACTGTGATGGACGAAATCCCGCACCACTTTGAAACCATGGGACATCATTGTTTGTTGGTATTTACAAGGGAATCATCATTCCAGGGTTTCTTAGGTGGTGCAGGATTTCGTCCATCCACAGTATCTCAAGGGCACTTCCTATACATCTCAAGTCCAGCTGCAACCGAAGGTCTTGGATGAAGCTTGCAGGACATTGTCTACAGTGGCCTATATTGCCAATAACTGGGATGCCTTGCATCCGTTCCAGTTATGTTTTTTCTTATAGATTCCAGACCGCCTTCATTATACAACATGGAGTCGGCAAAGGAGTCTTGCGATATCGCATGAAGATTCCAATTGAGTCTCTCCACAGCATCAGATGTATGTCACCCTCACTTCCAGGTGTACATTGTACGTTCCAGTCGAAGGGATCACACAACATAGCCAGCGAGACCGGCATCTAGAGCAGCGAAGGTTTCTTTGTTGACTCAACTATTGGTTCATGCAGCGAATTTTGATTGAGAAGGACTGACTTTTTATTAGGCCGCCACAGTGTCCGGGGCGTTTTTTCTGTTCGGTTGAATCCAGAACTTGCCCCTTGCAGGTTGAGAGCAGGTTCCCTTCCGGTGTTTGCCTTCCGCTCCACTGGGGTCGCGGATGCAGATTCACATTTTGGACTCGCACGTGTGAGGAACTTCGGAATGCGCCAGTCAAAATCCAGGCCTCCATGAATTGAATTCGTGGCCGGCGTTATGTTTGGACCAGGGTTTGCAGCTGGAGTACGCCATCTTACTGATTTACACCGCCTTTCGTGTCTCATGAGCAAAGGGGCTTGTCGCTTGAGGGGTTCAATACTTTCAGTTGAAGCATCGTTTATCATTTAATTTGGTCACAGCAAGCATGACACCTAAGTTTGCTCAGTCTGGATCCCTTTCCTGTATAGACATGCCCGCTTGAAATAAATTCATCTCCCAAATTCTCAACCCCAACTGTCGCGTTCGCCGGGCACCTGGGAGCTTCCGACCATTGCCGTGTTTGCCGTGGGTCGCCTTGAGCTATCATGGTGGTTGTTGGGAAACATTTTGACATTTTTGCAATTTGTGGTTTAGTGGTTGAAATCCAACCACTTAACTGCTAAGATTTAATTTGTCGCTCCCCTTTCAACGTCAACCAAGCTATCCCTTTGTGTTGGACGGAAAGGGCTACCTCTTGGGCCTGTTAGCCAAGTGTTGCCAGGCGGCAGAGGATGTGTCGCGCTCTGGAGTGGCCACATCCCAGGCTTCATTCGCACACTGGATGTCGCTCATTTGGGGCGACGAGATGTTGAAAAGCGGGAGTTTGTACCTTGGGTGAAATTCTTTGCCAGACAAGTGCAAGGTCAAGTTGATCAGTCCCCATGAGACATAAAGGGGAACCCTTGAATTGCCAGGTTCGTATCCTTTCTTTTGTCAGAACGTACTGTCCAGCCGCTAATTATGTTGTTCAAGGACAGAGCAAATATGGAACTGATATGGGTTCTGCCCTGAGTCGAGGAAAAGATAGAGTCGGGCAAACTGATGACGAGCGAAGTGACATCGTTCGGCCGTGAAGGCTTTGCGGAGCTGCATGCCTTGCAAGCGAGCCACTCTAGATTGCCAGTCGCTTGACAAATCAGCGACCCACAGATCTGTGAACATCCGCTGAGAATTTGAGAGCGGCAAACTGGTATTGCCGAGGCTTGCCCTGTGACCTTGTCAAACGCGCTGCGTCCCATCTTCAATATAGAAAGATTTCGTGTGGCTTCTCTCGGGCTGAAAGCGGCCCCTTTGAGGAAGCTATATACTACTTTGTTCGTTTCTTTTGGGCAAGCACCAGGACGTCTCAATCTTGGCACATTTTCTCCTTGCCAGCCAGGCCAGCGTTCCACCGCGCGGGCACCAGAGAGCTGATTCAAGAGCTGGTGAATGGGAATTGCAAGCAACACCGGTACCTATTGAAGCCAAGTGTCGAAAGCGGTGGATAGGATCCAAAACGGTTTGCATTTCAGGTCTTTTTAGTAGAGTTGATCCGACCAGATTGTAATTATAATGCAGCACGTGCTGGCGTTGTCGCTGTTGACTTGTTTGAGCTGAGAGCGGTCTTGGTTTGAATTTCTGTGTTCCCCGCTTCTTTATTGTTGAATGACGCGTGATGTGTTTGTTCATCCCCACATGCCCAACCACCTACAACAGCAGCATCCATGCTCAGCCACATGAATATTTGCACCCACCGGCTCATAAGATTCTCCTTGCTCGACGTAACCGCCCATGAATAGATGGGCGTTCTCCCAAGTACGGAATTCCACAAGAAGGGCCCCCCAAAATAGGTTTGCCACTATACCCTGTAGCCAAAACCGAGCGGTTGCGGGTCGGGACCTTCTTTTGGAAGGCTGTTTGGCGTGGAATCTGAGGATTTGGCTCCAATCGCATTCATGAATAGGGTTGAATAGCATAGATACTGTAGCTGGGATGCTTGCTTGCAGGCCTCCATCAGCTTGAAGTTCCTGCAGAGATGTTTGCTTCTGTGCCACGCAAACATGTTTTCCAAGACAAAATGAGAGGTGCTGTCATCTGACTATTCGGGATTTCGGATGAAGCTGTGAACCACCTAACACTGCCAAAGGCTTGGATCTGTGACAACTCCGACATCAGATGCGTTCCAGGAGGTCTGTAGTGCGCTTGCAGGTTTCTCCAAGACATGTTGGAAAAGGCAAAACCTGGAGACTACCCTGCTAGAGGGCCAAGAGCAGCCAGAAGCCTTCGGCTTGGATGTGAGTTTGCAATCTTTTGTTGCTGTGTAGCCACAACGTGGACCAGGTATGCAGGAAACTCCATGGTTGCTTGCCATGCCGAACCCGTTCGAAAGAGTCAACCTTGGACACTGCCTTTAGGCACGATGGAACCTGGGACAGCCGCTTCAGCCGAGGTCGCAGCTGTTCGCGGCTCGCGGTGTCCAGCATGGAACTGAGATGGCAACACGTTTACCGGTGAAGCAATTGGCAAGAAAAGTCCCTGACTGGGCCACCTGAAAGCGTATGTGCTGTGTTTGGCGTATTTGCAACTGTCTCAGCCGAGGAACGAGGTTGGTAAATTGATTTAAGAAGGCATGCCCCAAGGCAAATTTGCAGAAACAAGCTTAGTTGCTCCAGACGCCGCCAAGCCTAACGACACCCTTTCCGACTCTTTGTTGTTGTTTAGTTGAAACGCAACCCCGCAAAACTATCTCGAATAAGCTTAGTTCCACGCACCTCAATGACCTCGGACTTCTGGGATCAGTCTGGTTTAGGATGTCGTAGCGACACGGGCCACGGGTCGCTTGTCCCGGATGTGTTGTCCGGCCATTTTTCGGCAAACACGTGCAAATGGTTTGACAAATTAGCCATCGCGACTGACAAAAATGTCTTCTATTAAGTGATTGATCGGCCTGGCTCACGTTTGTCAGGCACTACATTGACAACACCGGACTGTATCAGCCACTCACATGGCATTGTGCAAGGCTTCGTGCATCCAATTCGTATGTTTGTTTGCCTTCTTGCTGACAAGTTGGCTTGTCCTATGCCTGAGAAGGAATCTGCAATATGTCAACATTGCCAGGGCGCACCGTGTCGGGGTAATGGGATACCCTCCCCCAGACTAACATGCAAGCTCCCAGGACCCTTTTTTAGACTTGGTTCCATTTACAGAGGCCTTCTGGGAGCTTCCATGTTAGCCTGAGGGAGGGTATTTACAACTCAATTTGTTTGCTTCGGTTTTCCTTCGGCGTCCATCCAAACTCCTTTTTACGGTCCCATTTTCCCTATGGGGAATACTAGATATGGTGTGGCCCGATTTCAAGTTTGGCCAGCCGCGTCGAGGTCTGACAACTCCAGCCTGCCGTGGGGCAGCTCAGATCGGTTACATAGCTTTGAGGTCAAAGAGACCCTGCCGCGAGGTGAGGCGTGGAGTGCCCCGAACCCCGAAGTTTATACACTCGCAATTTAGACGCATGGCACATTCAATTACATGAACATGTTGTAAGTTGTCCCTGATCAACAAACTTGATTCAGATTGCATCGTAATGCCTCATAGATTGCGCGTGCATGTGTGTGTGCATAAGAAGCAAGGAGATCTTGTTGGCTTTTGAAATACAAAGTTCATATCAGCCATCCCGGTGGAGCTGCATGTGGCGCTTGCCTGCAGTCTGCCAGAGGTCAGTGAATGTGTATGATTTCCGCAGTGTGTGTGTGTGTGTTTGCTCGCTCGCTCGCTCGCTCGCTCGCTCGCTCGCTTTCTGGATTGCTGGCTTGCTTGCTTGCTTGCTTGCTTGCTTGCTTGCTTGCTTGCTTGCTTGCTTGCTTGCTTGCTTGCTTGCTTGCTTGCTTGCTTGCTTGCTTGCTTGCTTGCTTGCTTGCTTGCTTGCTTGCTTGCTTGCTTGCTTGCTTGCTTGCTTGCTTGCTTGCTTGTTTGTTTGTTTGTTTGTTTGTTTGATTTTGTCTCGTTTGCTTGCTTGATTGCTTTCTTGTTTTGTTTTGTTTGCTTGTTTGTTTGCTTGTTCGTTGGGTGATTTGAGATTTATTGATTTATTTGCTTTTGTGTATTTACGTGTTTGTTGATATACTTGTTTTTGTTTGGTTTCTTTTGTTCCCCACCAAGTTTGCTGTTGGGGCCCGTGCGGCTATATTTGTCGCCCCGCAGGCCACCAGAGGGATACAGTCCTACAGTCATAGCAACTGCCCCTAGACGCGACCCCCGCGGCCACCCGAGCAGATTGCTGGCCAAGGTGATTCAAAGTCCTTATTATGGCATGCGAAGGTTTGCTTGCTTGAGCTTGCAATGTAATTCATCTCTTCGTTTGTGTTTGTTTGTGTGGTATTGTTTGGAGGTGTGTGTGTGTGTGCATGTGTGTGTTAGTATTTTGTTGCAGCCGGCATGGCGGCAAATGTTCTGCATCTTGTAGATCATGCAGGGACTAATAGGCACCGGGCGATTTTAAGAGCTGTCTAATTTGAGATGGCATGAGGGTGCTTTGATGGCGGAGGAAACAAGAACTGAACAAGCCTTTGGCCTACCAGCACAGTATCAACTGAACCTGTGGTTACTCTGATTCGAGGGCACTTGGAGGAAGAGGTCCCACAAACAAGCAAGAATGACATACAAACTTATGTTTTGAACGACTGTTCGACACACACCAGCACCAACTTTGGTGGGACCTTGCATGCCCAGGTCTGATTTCGTGAACTATGCTCAAGCAGCCCAAGCCCGAGGAGTATTTCTTTTCACTGTGGGCAGAGTTTGGACTCAGGTAAGGGAGATGTTTGGCTTGCGTTCGTAGCGTCAGAATGCAGCATTTTATTGATTTAGATTTGGCTGCCAGCAAGTCTGGGGCATATGTGCTCAGCGGTGCTCATGACTGTTGCGTGTCTAGCTCTGCGGCGCATTTGCAATTGCAAGGCTTCCAAGTGTATTGGTTTGCTAACCCGATAGCATTGGCAGGCAACAGCTACTGTGGGTGAATTTCTGTAGAGCCGGTTGAAGCATGTGTTGTCCTTTCAGGTGTATGCTCATCTTATATGCTGGCACTTACACCCCCTTGAATTGTAAACGCTTCGCGCTGCCCACCTCGGCTGGTATCAGCCGATTGTTTTCGTTGGCTTTGAAGTGCTGTGTATTGGTTTGCCTTGAAGTGCCGTGTTTTCTGAGTGAGTGAGTCGGCTCCGAAATGCGTGAGCTGTCTTCCAAGATGTAGGGTGGGTGCATGTTGCGTGTCTGCATCTGGCATTTTTCGGCTTCAGCTGCTCAGACGCAAGAGCCAAGCTTCTGCAAGCGGATGTAGCGCATGGCAGGTGCATGAAGTAGTCCTACGAAGACTGGCACTGTTTGGGAAGATCCCCATGATCTAAAGAAGGACCTGACGGCCTTCCCACTCTAAGGGCCAACGCGCACTTCATGTGCAATTTGTACCTCCAACAGCTATGGTTTATTTATAGACGCTTTTGTTGGACACTCTTTGAAGTGGGGCCAACATGTAACCAGGGTCCCACACCGTACAGGTGCCGAATTGCAGGACACGTCTCGCTCAGGAGTCACTTCAATCAAACACACTCCAAAGCCAGCCACGCTGGGTTCGTTCTTTGGGGATGTGTTTCGGACATTAGGAGAGCTCGCCCCAATTCTGGGGGAAGAGCCCATTCTATTCGATATGTTTTGCGATTTTTCAAATGATGCTGTCTCTTTAAGCATGTCCACCATGCGATCAGGGACGGATTAATTAGGCTCAACATGTGTACCGCATCTTGCTCAGGTTGCCCGCGACGTGTCGCAAGGCGGCTTCAGCCGTGCCACTGAGGACAAGGTTTTTCCGCACTCCATGTGGTCCTTCGTTTGTTTGCTGTTTAGGGCGATTTTAACATTGGCAGCGGCTTGCTCAATCCTTAGGTGGAAACGCCAACGGAAGGACCAAGCTTGGACCCAACGTGCTTCGAGCAAGCAGCTTGCATACAGCTCAGCTATCCGTTGACCAACAGTTTCATGGCCTGCTTGGTGGACTTCGGGAGTCTTGTTTAGATGGGACAGATTGATACACAACCTCTTATGAGGTCAAACTGGCCAAAAGAATCAGGCTGTGCTCGCTCGCTCGCTCGCTTGCTTGCTTGCTTGTTTGCTTGGCCGATTTCCGCTCATCTGCCCGGATGCAAACGAACATGTTTGTGCTGTGACCATGATGGTGTAAGGTGTTAATCCCCCTGTAAACTCATCGAATGCTCGGTTCCGCTAGCAAGCGAATTGTTCAACAACCAGCTACGATGGCGAGCGTGTTTCAGGCAGTCGAAGTTTCTCGTATTGGAATATTCATTTCTGTCTACACGCCATCGGGTCCATGAGAGGACTCCTCTGCCCAACTTGCCGGGAGCTCGGTGTGAAGGTGCTACTATCAGCTTGGGACGGTTGATAATCACACGGTAGGGTCATTTTCAGAAGTTTCAACAAAGAAGGGACGTGGTCTATGGAGTGGATAATGCCAAATTTCATTCATACGATGGTGCCTGTGCTAAAGTCATGCTGAGAGTCCTGAAAGGAACTCCTTGTCCATGGCACGCCCGCTTCGGAAGTTCGGGCCCCCCATTGCGTCGTTTGTTGTGATGGCAAGAGCTGTGGAGGTCGCCTAACCGTCTGCAGTGATGCCCAACTTTTACTTCGAATCCTTGAACTTCAATCTTCAGCAACATGACGACTGTTATAGTTTTAAAACATTGCAAGCTGCACCTTTGCCATCAGCTGAAACAGCAGCAAACATCTGTAGGACATTCCTGGATACTTGCTTTGAGTTGGAGCACATTGCCACCCCAACCACACTCTACAGCAGGCTGAGTGCGTGCATTCCATGCTCATGTTGGCCATTCGCAAGTGCGGCCCCCCCTTGCACTGCTTGAGCAGTGCAAGGCAGAGCTAGGTGGCACTCCACAGGGTTTGCCTATGCCTTTGCGGGGTGCTTCTCGAGCGCAACGTTTCCAATAGATAGTTGCTTCAGTGGCACATGCCATCCCTTCAGGTCGCGTGCCCGCACCAATGGTGTATCGCTTTGCTTTTTCATTCGGATGCCAACTTCACACGCACCAAAAGCCGATTTATAGAGCCCTCAGCAAGGCAACAAGGCAACAAGGCACTGTTTCGTTCAAGATCCCGTGCGAGAGTCTATTCGCAATGTCATAGAACATGATGTGCGTTCTGTGTATAGGACATGGGCTAGCATGCCCTTTCTCTTTATTACGATATTGCTGGTTTTGATTGGCGAATGAAGCTGACTCTTGTTCCGGTCCATATTGAAATGAACCGGAATATGCCTACTTGCACGGTTACAATGTTCTTTTGACACGAGTGCAGCGATATGCACGGGCAGCATTGTGATTCATGTTCGAACGTTTTCTCGGATTGACTTTTGCTGCCGGTGCAGAGAACGTGAATTGCCTGTTCCTCACCACCTTTCCCTTGCCAAGGCCGGCTCGCCGGGAGCCCGTGGATTTGTGTTGGGGGGTGATCCTGTGCAAAGCTTGTTCCACAGAAATGGTAGCAACAATATGCTATGTGTTGCGGCAGGGACCATTGTGATTTTGATGGGTTTGCTACTACTTGACAGCAAGCTAGAACATGTGAACATGGGATACATCCAACTTGGCATTGCATAGTCCTGTGATGTGATGGTCGGCTGCAACATTGTTGTAACACCATGAAATCTCTGATAGCATGCAACAGCAGAGGATCCAGCAATTCCACTGAGATGAGATACACTTTCCACTGGGATAGCATGTTGCAAGGGGGCTAACGACTCAAGAAGCTTGAGATCAGGCTCATGTAATTGCTGGTGCTGCTGCTCATGATAGTGGTGATGGAGATACTGGTGCTGGTGATGGCGGTGGCGGTGGTGGGGTGAGGATGATGCTGCTGATGATGCTGCTGATGATGATGATAATGATGGTGGTGGCGATGGTGGTGGCGATGGTGGTGGTGCTGGTGCTGGTGCTGGTGCTGGTGCTGGTGCTGGTGCTCCTGGTGGTGCTGGTGCTGCTGGTGCTGCTGGTGCTCCTGGTGCTGGTGGTGCTGGGTGGTGCTGGTGCTGGTGGTGGTGCTGGTGATGGTGCTGGTTGGTGGTGGTGCTGGTGGTGCTGGTGGTGCTGGTGGTGCTGGTGGTGCTGGTGGTGCTGGTGGTGCTGGTGGTGCTGGTGGTGCTGGTGGTGCTGGTGGTGCTGGTGGTGCTGGTGGTGCTGGTGGTGGTGGGTGGTGGTTGTGGTGGTGGTGGTGATTGTGATTGTTACGAAAGCTTAGGTTGTGTGAAGGGCGCACGGACAGCA